AGGCCTTTGGAAAACACAGAAACAGCAAGTCGGCCATTTGGCAGGCGGGAATAAAGAAAGACAAGCGGTGACCGCGAACACGGAACGCTGTTTTATGTTAGGGTTTGGGATCGGGTTCGGTATCAGACCATCAGACACATGACTTCCTATATGTACAGGGGAGCCTCTAAATGTGGAAATCGCCTTGTGCTATGATGAATTCATTTTGGAAAGATCTCAACCTTTCCAATCACCAGGAGTATGCTAAGTAAGAGAGCTTCTTCTCGGAGTCCCACTGTAAAACCCATGCCCCAGTCAGCGATGCAAGACGAAAAGGCTTCGGCCGTCACTCATTCAAGCCATTCATTCAGTCACTCAATAATTCGGCAGTTGTACGTCTTTTACTACTTCTGGCCGCGAGAAAATTGCAACAATTTGGCATTGTTGCAGTGCGATTTGTACTCCGTTTGCTGCAATTAATTGACAAACGGCGCCCCTCGACCCCACTCCGACTCTCCAACTTGGACGTGGACCACACTCTCCGGAGTTTGAGTATTTGTGCATGCAAATTGTATTGAACTGATTCCCACGAACGCCTCGGCCAGATGGTTTCGATTTGATTGGGCCAGTTCGTTCTCCGACCAAAACTCGGCTTTGGATCGGTTCCGATCGGATCTCCAGAGGCATGCAAATCATTCGCGGAATGTTTTTTTTCGGGGGGAAGAAACATTTCCCATTCGCACTGTTCTCGGCTCGGAATTGGCATTGGATTGGCTTGGGTGTGGGAATGCGAGCCGAGTGTGATGCATAATCACTTTGGACGTGGCCCAAGCAATTCCCAAATTGGCAACCATTGCAGAAACGTCCGAGAGGTAGCGTTATTCGATTTGTGAGTGGCGCCAGCGAAGAAGAGAAAAGTGTCATGGAATGGAGGGAATATACACTACAGATTTATACTACACTTTCCAAGCAGGTGCATTATCGATTAGTATTTATCGTTTATCTGTAGAGAACCACTTTCCCAGTATTCTATTTCCACCTCCATTTACCAGAAAGAACCACGCTTATTTGCAGATGATCCTCGGCCATGCGCCAACTCATTTGTTGTTTGCCCGCTCGAGGACAGTGTCAATAGAGGGAAAGACTTCAAGTACTTCCAGAACAACAAATACGATAGGTCTTGACCTACGGCAAAGATGAAAAGACTTATTAATATTTCCTAATCCCTTGTAATTATGATTCCCGGCCATTGTTTGTCGCAGGCAATGCAACCTTCGGCTAAAAGACAACAAACAAGACCTTTTCAATAGATCAAATTACCAAGTAGATATGTCAATTCCTCACGTAAAACGCGATAAGAGATCTGCGTTGGGATGGGAATGGAAAGGTAAAAAGCCATAACCGACATCTAACCACAGAAATATCGACTACCGCCTGTCTTTTTTTCTGTTTTCCCCAGAAAACCCGGGCCTAATCTTTGCCAGGGATTATAGTTGGTCCAATCAGCAGCAACGCCTGCAGCTAATGAGCTGCCGTCTGTTCCAGGGAATCCCAAAATGGGAAAAGAAGAAAAAAACTGAGGCACCCAAAACGTACGCCCCTGATAATTACTCGGTTCCAATAAAAAACAAAGTAACTCCAAGACAATAGACCAGATGATCGGTGTTAAGCTGGTGATCTCAGCGATCTTATCGCAGCCCTAGATGTGTGTTATGACTTTTACTTTTCTTTGTCACGATCGTGGTGTGTCGCTTCAAATCAAAGCAGCAGATTAATAATTCTGTACCTCACCCCGGCCGCCCTTTATCCGGCCATCGTTTGCGATCGGAAAGATGACAAGAGTCGGTGGAAAAATCAAAATCAAATTAAAAGACAGCAATCAATAATTTGACACGACTTGGGGCGATCGACAATGGCCCAAAGACCACGAGGATCTTTACACGGGGAGAAAATATGGCTAGGAATTTGTATTTGACTTAGTTTTTAACTCCCAAATGGAATCATTTAGAAACTATGGAGAGGAGGGTTTTATTAAGAATTATTACCAATGAGTGAAAGACCGTAAGTAGAACCCCAGATCTTGCAATTACTTTATTTTTTCAAGTGCAGCTCCGATCGTTTGTCGGTGTCCCGTTGTTCCAGCTGGGCCTTGGAGTGAATCTGGCTGTGATCTTGGAGCTCCGTGTAGATTTGTACGACTTTTGCGACATTTTGTATGAGGCGATGGATCGATCCGACCCTCCCCGCCCCGAACTGCTTCTCCCTCTCCCGTTTCTGCACTGATCCGGATCCCGTCCCGCTCCCATGTCGCCTGCTATGTACAACATCAAGTTTTATCGCTGATCGTGATCATGTAATTCCAGCCCACGCATGCGCACTCGGCGCTCGCTTCGAAGGAATCAAGTTTAGCGCATTCTTATTCGACTGAGATGGAGCTGGAGTTGGAGATGGAGATGGAGTTGGAGATGGAGACTCCGAGTCCAACTTCGACTGGAACTGGGACCTTGTGACAGATGGCTGTGAGGCTTCAAGGCATTCCCTTGGATCGCCCAACCCAACTCAGTCCAGGAAAGGAACCAAAAGGAAGGGCAAGGATAGAACAGGAAGGAGCAGGAGGGACTGGTTTCTCCTTTTTCCCTTACACTTAGGGAAATGCCATGCTAGGTAATTATTAATACTATCACTTATTAAAAACTTAAGCTAGTTTTACACATAATAACAAAAATAGCCTAAAACCATAATCCATCACACTACTAACTTATTGCTTTTAAGATTTTTTAATATTAATTAAGATCCCCCTTGAAGTTCTCGAAACCCTTTTCGCCAAGTGCAACTAGCTTGAGCCTGTGCGATCTTTATGTAAACTGGTACTTGAAATTTGAAATCATGTACCATTTGCCTTGAGACAGACAACGATACCTGGGATGGGATTGGGGACGGACCTGGCGATGGAGCGATGGAGCAATGGAGCCTGGCAATCGATGATCGTGTCCCTGAAGAGGAGACTGGAGATCGAGGCGGCACAGGAAACGAGCATTTAAAAGCGCGACTATCGAAATATAACGACATTAAGCCGGGCTTTTCATTTAAAGGAAGCTTGTGTCAATACGACGGAGCTTACCTTGGAATGTGCAATCGCGACTGGTGATCTTTTGATGGCGCCGCCATTCAGGATGATCCGGGCATCATCCTCGCGATGATCATCATCATCCGTAAGCCGAACACTAAGCGACATAATTGCTACCGTGAGACTGAAGACCGCTCTGAAGAGCAAAGAAGACTCCAGACTTCAGACTCCCGGACTTCAGACTCATTAAAAGCTGCGATCCTAATGCGCTCCAATCAAACACACACGAAACGAGCGTATGACATGTTTGTGGATTATTAATCACGATAATATCTGTATAAATGGTAGAAAACAGCGAGTCCCGGCCAAATTGCAATTTAATGCAAAAATAAATTGCACTCGGAGCTGGGCTGGAGTTGGCTTTCTTGCCAGCCAGCCAGCCCGACAGCCAGCCAGCCAACCGGCAGCCGGAGAGCTGGCAGCTCCCATGATTATTGGTCATTTACTTGGGCCGTTTAGCGCATTAAAGTCCAGTCCCCCACTGCATCCTGGCATCCCCCGGAGTCTGGGGTCTTTGCATAAAGAATAAGGAAATAATTGACAGTTGAGGAGTCTCAGCTATGATTGCGGCTGTGATTCGAATTGTGATTGGGTTTGCTGTACGAGCGTATTTTTGGATTCTTCTGGCACTGCCAGCATTCTTCTCTCGCTCTCTCCTCTGCGATTCTTCGGAGATGGCGTGCGAGGAGAATCATTTCAATCAACCGACTGCGCTCCAGGCTGAAGAAATCAACGCTTTGACTAATGGCCACAATTTGCAAGTGCTAGCAGGTTGATGCACTCGGAAAAAAGTGAGGGATATCTCAGATTCAGGGTTTAATAATTTCCTAGAACACACTTAAAGGTGTTTTTTCTTGACTGCCAATCAAAAGCCTTTTAAGATCTTTAGTAACTGAAAGATTAAGCCATTGTTCCATATTTTTACTAGGAATTCTACGGCTCCTTTAGAGGCCTGGAAAACAGCTGGTCTTTGGTTCGTTATCAGGCGATCGCAATCCTTTAATGATCGCCGATCACGTTTGATTCTGGAGAAATCAGTATTATAATGTGCTGGGAATATTAAGGGTCTCAAGTTACTGTGATCTTGGAATATTGATCTTCATAATTATACCTCCCAAACTTGTGGATCTATTAAAAGAGTATTTGTTGAGAAATCATCTTCTTTTAAGCTGCAAAATATGTCAGAATTGGAATTCTTCCTATTGGCCAAATGTTAATACTAGGTTAAAATGTGATTTCTCCTACATCTATATATAATTCCCTTTGAAATCCATCAAAACTCCCCTTTTCCCAAGGTTAAAAGTACTTGCAAAAAGTGCAGAAAGCCTGTGAAATTTCCTAGGAAGAATCATAAACAACTACTTGCAAAAATTATAAAAATAAACGTAAATAATCGAGGCAGAGGGAGATGGCACGAGCAGTGCGAGGGAGAAGGCTAGAGCGGGCGGGAAAGTGAGGACGGGAGGAACACCCACTCAAAAGCGCAGAAACCGGTTCTCTCTTTCTCACTTCCCTAGCTCCGAGCCGAGTCGGTATGGGTGAGCGGGAGTAAAAGGTGCTCAAAATACACTGACAAAACGAGTTTGCACCTGGCCGAGGTGGACTTCTCCCGCTCTCCGATCGCTCTTCTTGTAGGTGATCTTGTGGGCGATGCTCTCACGCGCTCTCCCAGAGAGAGTTCCCGAACAAAAGAGCGGCGTTTGGCGATCAACAAGTGAGCGCAGGTCCGCGATATGTCCGCAGAGCAATGGACTTTTAGTTATTCCGTGATCTTTTACCAATATTGTGTGCAGCGACGGCTGATCGACGTCAAGAGAAGAAGAAGCAGCAGCAGAATCAGAGAAAATAAACAACAAATAGCAATATATATATATATATATATATATATATATATCCTAACACGTGTGTGTGTCTGTGTGGCTCAAGACCGGAAGTCTGATTAAACGGAAATTAAAATATAGAAACTAAAGATCACCCTAAAGATCGTTTACTTAACTTTTCGCGTGTGCCAGCGAGCAATATTACTATATAATTTTATCCAAAAACTGAAGAACTGAAAAACCGAAAAAGCGTGCCTGCCAATTTGAGTTAACTTGGCTGGGACTGCATTTTGTTGTTTTCGTTTTGGCCAGACGTCAAATTCGATTTTTATGACTTTTGAAAGCGTGACTAAGACGTGATTTATGATGGCGTGTGGTTTTTAATATTCATGTGGACGCGCTCCGAACCTCTCAACCTGCGTAGGTGCGCCAAACAATAAAAAACACAAAAAATCACCACGGCAACCAGCAACCAGCAACAGCAACCAACAACCAGCAACAGCAACATCGCTGCCCCGAGGCTTTATCCCGATATCCAGCTGAGTGTGTGCGTGGACTCGACTTTTTTATGGAGGCAGTTAAGCATTTGAGTGCCGCTGCTGCTGCTGCTGCTGCAGCTGCAACTTGCAGCGAAATGCCGGCCAAGGCATCAGCATCGCCAGCAACAACCGATATTGGCGAGGCGCTAAGCGATCTCGATGCAGGCTCAACAGCAGCATCATCGGCCAGCAGCTCAGCAACATCGAAGCACCATGGCAACAAACAAAGTGCAGCGGCAACACCCACAACGACGCACAAGAAAAGCGAGAGTTGCAACAGCAACAAGTGCACGCCGGCAACATCGCCAATAGCCAGCAAGACAAGCAATGCTGCAATGGCAGCTGCAACAGCCACGGCGGCTGCGGCGACTAACGATCTTGCAGCGGCTGCTGCGGTTGTACTTTCGCTGCAAGGAACCATGGTTAGTAGCCTGCAACAGGCCGCCTTGCTGCCGGCCAATTCCGCAGCAGCAGCTGCCCTCAATCTTCAGGCCCTGGAATCCTATTTGGCACTGCAGCGGCTCACTGGGAAATCAGATGTCTTTCGCTTTTCCAACAGCAACACCAGCAACAGCAGCAGCAACAATACCCCCACGTGCAACAGCAACAGCAGTGAAACGGAGAGCAATGCCTTGCCCTCGTTGATAGACATAGCCAACATAGAGCTCAAGTCGAGCTGCTCATCGAGTTCCTCGGGGGAACCCCCTTCATTGGCAGCAACATCAGCTGCAGCAGCATCAGCAACATCCTCGTCCAGCAGTAACACCACCAACTCCACCAGCACGTCAGCAACATCCAAGTGCCTGCCTCTGCCCTCAATCGGCACTGTTAGTGCTGCTGCTGCGGTGGCGGCTGCTGCGGCTGCTGCAGCAGCTGCTGCTAACCAACAGGCGGCCATCGATTGCGCAACTGCCGCAGAACTGGCAGCAGAATGCGACTTACCCTTGCTCGATGGCGAGGATGCCTTATCCTTCGAGGCGGGAGACTTGGACAGCAGCTATGGCGGCTTCATATTCAATCCCTCGGCCTTCAGCCAGGCGGAGACGGACTCGGCTCTGAACTCCCTGCAGGCCACCATGTATCAGGACAAGATGAGCGTCATTTCTGGGGCGACAGGGGGTGGAGCAGTTGGGGGTTTGGAGGAGGCAGGCAGCTCAACGGCAGCAGCGGCGGCGGCAGCAGCTGCCCAGCGGTCCAAGAAGCAGTTCATCTGCAAGTTCTGCAACCGGCAGTTCACCAAGTCCTACAATCTGCTCATCCATGAAAGAACCCACACGGACGAGAGGCCCTATTCCTGCGACATCTGCGGCAAGGCCTTCAGGAGGCAGGATCATCTGAGGGATCATAGGTAGGTCGGCATTTTACCTCCTATAAAAGGGATTACTTTGTTCTTTACCCAGGGGTTACTTTGAATGAGTCGAGCGATTCTCTTCACCCGACTCCAATCTCCAATATCCTCTAACTCAGTATTTTCCTTCTTCATTTCCCTATTTCACAGATATATCCACTCCAAGGAGAAGCCCTTCAAGTGCGCCGAATGCGGCAAGGGATTCTGTCAATCCCGAACCCTGGCTGTCCACAAGATCCTCCACATGGAGGAGTCGCCGCACAAGTGCCCCGTGTGTAATCGCTCCTTCAACCAGAGATCCAACCTGAAGACCCACCTGCTCACCCACACCGACATCAAGCCGTACAACTGCGCCTCCTGCGGGAAAGTTTTCCGCCGAAACTGCGACTTGCGGCGTCATAGCCTAACCCATAACCTAGCAGCCGGAGTGGGTGGCGTGGTGGGTGGCAACCTAAGTGATTTATTTGGCTCCGGTTCCAGTTCCAGCTCCGAGCTGGGTTTGCCCACGGGCTCTACCAGCACTTCCGGATCCTCCAGAGACTTGGTGGCAGTCACCGATTGATCTTCATCAGACCGCTACTCCATGATTCCCACTCAATAAAGTTAAATCTCATTCGCAGCTCTCATGAATACGAATCCCTCCATTTCGTAATCTTAATCGTACTTACTAAACAGCATTTAGTTTAGTCTAAGCTTAGTCTTAAGCCTTGGATATTTGTGACGTAAGCTTAGCAGGAAAGTTTGACTTTGTGTAAGGCTCTCGATATGTTTAGTGAATAAGTTAAATTGTGGACTCTTATCGTACTATCGAATAAATGATAATAGCTTAAAGAAAACTATGAATTTTTTTACTGTGGGTAAAGCTTAATATCTAACAAAAAGTAAGTATTTGGTGGAGTTTATCTCGATGGCAACCCAGAAAGGTATTTCTCTAGAATATTCCTTTCCCATTTCCATGGCTAGAATGTCTCCCATCGTTTAACCTTTTTCTCACCCTTTCTACCGCTTCGATGCCAGCCTTGTACTTACACTATTTACCCACTTGTAGCAAACTAAAATCAAATATTTGTACCGATGTTTATCGCTCGAGTGGCAACAAGGGCAATTAATGTACCATTAAAGGTGCACACCTTCAAACACCTTTCCCAACAAGCCTTTGACAACAAACAAGAGAGACAATAGCGAGGCTAAGACAATGAGATATTTTCCCACCATTTCCTCGTTAGGTTCTCCAGGCTGTTCCACATACTTCCATACTTCCAGGCAAACAATGTCGTACAAGGCGGCTGACAAGTGGAGCAGGCGCTATCTCATCGATGAATGGGCCACCCACATGACCGAAGAATCGAAATCGGGCCACCCTTTTTCCCACACAGGAACGAGCCAGATAATTCCCGGGCGTGTCCGCTGAAAGAGTTTGGAGATTTTATAGCGAAAAGTGGGCTGTCCATTCCAGAACAAGGGTGGAGCTCCAGCTCCAGACTGCCACAAAGTTTACAATTTTTATTATCGACTACAAAAAGATGCGGCTATAACGACACAAACACATACAGTGCAGTTCAAAAGCGAACGCCGACCGGGTTTCCTTCCACGGCCATCTTACCCCTTTACTCTTCTCTTTCCTAAACTCTTACTTCCCGAAAAGATCGCCGCGTTTGTCAATCGTTAAACGGATCAATGTAAAGCCGCCTGCGATGTTGTCTTTATGGGTTGCCGTTGCCATTGCTGTTGCATTTCCTGTGCTTCAGCTACACCAAACCAATTACAACGATCAAACAACAATTATGGATGAGTCCGAGTTTTGAGTCCCAGTTTGAGTCCGATTCTTGACCAGAGATCGCGGCTCCGTTCTGGTTTGTTTGTCGTGGCCAGCACCCCTTGCCCGCTGTCCCATCTTTCCTCCTCGGATGGTTAAACATTTTAAACACGACCTGCTTGCTGCTCTCTGCAAATATTTGCGCGGATATTGTTCTATTCAATGGAACAAGCGTGCAAGCCACACTGAGAAAAATAATCTAAAATATATTTTTATTATTGGGAAGTAACTAATAACTAAGGGAAATAAATCTTTTAATTTAGGTATATTCATGTCTTATAGGACTACTTCTCAATTAAAATGAAAAATATGCAATTTGGTTTCGATATTTTCCCTCAGTGCATTGACATCTCCCATTAGTCCGGGCTCTAAACAGCCTCCAAAGACTGAAAAACCCCGAGAATGGAGCGTCTCTGCGAATTGCCAGCAATTTCACACTTTATGCGCGACGGCTTCATTTCCACAGAGTGTCTACCCCCTCCTATCGCCTCCCTCTGGGGTTCCCCAAGCCCCAAACTATATAGTAGTATCCAGCTCATCCTCCGGCCAAGAGCTGGACATTCTTCCCAAGCGGCGCGTGCGGGAAGAGCGGATGTTTGAACGCTTTCGAGTCCCCAGTTTGGAGTTTACGAACGCACCAACGTCGGCCGGCTGTTGGTTGGACCGTATTGATGGGAAAATTATGAAATTCATTGTTTGTGTTTGACTAATAATTATGACAGCAAACGCATTGTCGTCATAAACGCGAGGGGACAACCCCGAAAAGGGGCGAAGGGGCAGGGGCTGCAGAGGGGGCGGGAGCGCACTAAATTCGCTTTGAGGTTTCCGCACCGCCCCAGACAAAAAAAGTGGGAAGGAGAAGGAAAACAGAGGAGGAAGAAACTCTGACTAACTCTAATAAGCCCATCAACGCAAACGACAACACGGCAACATTCCACCTTCGATCTGCAACACTTACAGTAACAACGCAACAGCAACACTGGCAACAATGGGAGTATTTTATATGTGCTGCTCCAAAAAGGGAATGATTTAGTTTACACGAATGTATTTTCTAACTTATTAAACACTTTAAATACATTTCCAATCATTTTCGTCTATTTTATGAGAGAAGCACTCTTTTTTTTCAGTGTACCAACAACACCAACCAACAATGTTGTTGTCTAGTGTGCGAGGCGTGGCCGTTTCGAAGATTCTTTGAAGTTGGCTATTGCTTTTGGTCAAGGTGTTGTTGTGTTGTTTTGGCTTGCTGTGTGGATTGGTAGAGCCGCGGAGGAGCACGATGATGATGATGGGTCAGATGAGGAGGGCAAAGACAGGGGAAAGGGAAAAACATTTTGGTGCGTTGTGAAATTTTGTTGCGTTTCCCGGAACCAACGCAAAAAAGCGGAACGTTCTCGTTGTCGTCGGTTGTTCGACTCTTTTGGTTGTTCAGTTGTTTTAGCCATCGGTGGTTCGGCGTTGTCTTTTTGGGGCGAATGTAAATGTCAGGGGGCTGTCGACTGGCTATTTGGTTACTTGGCCACTCTGCCATCTTGTCTTTGGCCAGTTAGCTCGGCGGCACCATTTGCTTTATGATTTGATGTATGTGCCAGTCCGTCCGGTCGTAACTACGCCAATAATTTCTACCCGGCCGCATCGGCACCTCAATGGGAACGAATCCGTGTTTGCTCAGCGCTAAAATACGCACCAACACAGCACTGGGATATATTTTGGATATTTTCTAAGGCTAAGACTAAAACTGCCTCATATGTACTTAGTCTAATGATTTCCGGAAATGAAGTTCTTTATGAAATATATTGTTCTGATTTCCCAGTTTTTAATGGTCTAAATAAGATTAAAATGAAAAGTTTTAACTTATATTTTCCTCTGTGTAGGGAAAGCGCTTCTCACTCATTATTTTTGGCTCAGTCGCCGGCGTTCCAGGATCTGAAAAGTCTGAAGTAGGGTTTGAGTAGTTTGAGTTTGTGGAGTTGGAAGATGCGCCAGAACTGAAGGAAACGTAAATTTCTGGCGGCGTTCTTCTGCCTAATTAGGTGCCATCTCGTAAACGTACTCGCTTTTCAGTCCCAGTCTACTTTTCAGGAGGAGAACCCTACAAGATGGTTAGATTTACAGACAGGAATACGGAAGGCAAGACAGTTAAACATAGGTGGCTCAAGTTAGAGGGGTGAGGAAGTGTCTGCAGAAGACTTTAATTATGAAAACTGTTAATTTGTATTATTATAAACTTAATAGTTTGCCAGATAAATAGTTATCTGAATTCCTCGAAATATTTCGGTAAATCTACCCCCAATTACCCCCTCAAAGGGACACTTATACCCACACGCATGTCATCACAGCTGTCTGCCAGACACCTCGTCTCCAGCCCAAGCCCCCCCTACCCTTACCACCCACCCATAAAAGCCCTTTGACAACCGACAAACGGTCATAAAGCCAGGAAAACTAAATTTCTGGAAATGCAGTCGCCGCCGCGTCTTTGTGCCAATGTCATCATACAGAAGAAGAAAAGCTGCCGAAAATCGTGCAAGTGAATAGAGAGACCTTGCTTATAGGGTCTGCTGGGGCCCTTGGAGCACTGGAACTCCCCCAACGGGAGGGGTAGAGGTGGAGGCGGGGTGTCCCCAAGTGGTTATTAGATTTTATTGGACGGGACACTTTGCCGACGGGGAGTTGGGGCATTTCCACGGAGCTCTACGCTTCTCCAGAGTTCTCTCACGTTGCGGCAGGGAACTGAGGCATGCATATGAAATCCAACGCGTAGGTCAGAACACTTGAAGAAAATACTAGTAATGGATATTAGGGTTTATTACATGTCTCATTAAATGACATTCCAACTCGTAGTTGATTTAGAAACTCAACTTGATCTTCACAAGGTATCACCTGGGAATTAGTAATACCAAGACTACGATATCCCACCCCTTTCTCCCAGTGTATTCCCATATGCCAGAACCTATAACTCTTACGGGATGTCGGTTGTTGGACTTTATTGCAGGCAGGCGCAAATGCAAACAAATGCGACAAATGCCGAGTGAACACACATATTTAGAGTTGTAATTGACAGTCGTCCGAGTGCAGTGAGGTGGTCTCCTCTCTCTGGAGTCCGCTCCATACTCCACACTCCACTCTCCACACTGCACTCTCCGTAATCCGCGCTCCGTGCTGCTCGGCATTCCGTATTCCCTGGCTGGCATTTCGTATTTGCCCACGGCTTGTTTGACAACTCGCCGGGCACGTAGCACGGAGCAGTCGCTGGATCGAGTTGTGTACTACAACACCACACGGTCGTCAAACAGTGACGGAAACAACTGGACTATACACTGGAAAAAAGGAGTCATTTGATGACAAAACTATTAAATACTATCAGCAATTATGCTGATAACCAAGTATCCCTTTAACTTCCTAAAGTTACCTTTATCTCTTTAACAAACTTTAACATTTTCTTCGAGTGCACAGCAAACCCACCTCGAAGAGAGCGAGAGAGCCAGCCAGATAATGGTCGAGCTTATCTCCCCACACCGCCCACCCACCGCCGCCCCTCTTTACCCACTGTCGCACCCCCTTCGCCACCCCCGGACAAAAACATTTAGGGGGGTTATATGACTTTTCGGAACTGATAAGCTCCGCTGAGCTGCAAGCTAATTGAGTGACGACTACGAGTGCGCGGTTAAATTAAAACGAAATCATTTGCAAGCACACCCCTGAGATCCCAACCGGCCCCCGCCCCCTTTTAGCACCCCCTCAGCCCCGCCCCCATTTACACACAGCCACCCCCACCTTTAGTTTTTTATACTTTTTTTTTACCACGACTACCTCGTCGGCAGTCGACGATGATTAGAACCAAAACAATCAAACAAAACACATCAAAGGGCCGGTGCCGTCAATTTGTCATTAACGTAATATACTGACAAGATTGCTTTGCACGGATATCGCGGACGTTAGTTGACGTAAATATATATATATATATATATATATATAGGTACATATGTATATAGCATACCCCTTAATATTTGTCAACAAACACATCGTTTAGCGTCCGTCAAGGTGTTGTAATACTGTTATAGTCGGCTATTTTGAGAGTCGCTATTAGTGGGGGGCAGTTGTAAATTTCCGTTTTTAGAGTGAAAAATGTGACATATTTTCGTGGTTTTGTTTAGCCAACTTGGCTGAGATCTTGTGTGCTGAAGGATTAACAATGTGTGGGATTTTTCTTAGCCATGAGTTCGCTGAGTGGAATGCCAGTGGGGAAAGACGTGTTTGGTGAGTGATTAATCAGCTATTAGTAGGGTTTTTTAAATAGTTATTTCTGTTTTTGATAGTAAATAAAAACATGTTACTTTCACCCAACACTCATGCCTTTCCCCTCAATGGTTTTAACAGAACATTCACTCCACGTTGACAACTCCTTTACCTCTCTCTAAGCCGACAGTTGGCGCTCACCTTACGGTTAATTAGGTTGAGTCCCTGTTGGAAGATTACGACACCTAATAACACAGTAAGCCCCATCTGAATGGCCACACGAAAAGAGAAACATGATGAGGAGCCGGAGGCGACTCTCCGCTCCCCATTTCAATTCATAAATCTAAGCCGATGCAGACGGGCGATAATCTGAAGCACACTTGGGAATATTTCGGGCTTTAAGTTCAGTATATTAATGGTTATTTAAACAACAACTTCAACCCTTTGATTCACTTAGCTTATAGTTTAGTTTATTCTATCTAAAAGTATTACATTTTAGTGCATAATTTCTCCCTGTGCAGAAAAGGGATAGTAATAAATTCCATGATGATTCCCATACCACGCCATTCCCTCAAAACCCAACAGATGCAACAGACAGGCGACCAGTCGACTCAATTACGGTTACGTAAGCCGTTTTGTGTTGAAAGATCATCGAAGCATATAACCGAATATATATCCCGGATTCCGAATTACGAATTCCGGTACCGGTACCGGTAACCCCGACAACCGTTTTCGGATCCCTTCGGGCTGCCGTTGACAGTTTGCGGGGCACTTTAAAGTGCCACTTCGAGAGGCCACATGGATATATATTTGGATGAGTATATTTCACGCTTATCAGCACTCCGACAACTTTTCACCACCCTCCCTTCGTGTCTTTCGAAAAGGGGACAAATTGCTTCCCCTGCTAAATGCCGGCAACATCCTCTTCCTATTGTTGCTTTTGCTGTTGATTAGCTTAATAATTTGTACCCACTTCGCACCCCATTTCCACAGTTTACCATTTCGGGGGATGTTTAATGATCTCCGGAGGGGCGTGGCATGGTGTAGATTACAAGCGAAACAGTTGCTACTAATGGAGGGTTATGGTTGCATTTGAGGGCAGGGTGGCTTGTTCCTAGCTCGATTTCCCGGGATGTTTTCCCTTCGGCCACCATGCTGCGATAATTGAATAAACATTGAGGCGGGTCTTGAGGAGCATTAGCGTTTGAAGTTCGCCAGGATTTCCATTCGGTTGCCAGTTAAAGTGATACCCATCGCAGCTTTTATCTTCCATGGCCAACGGGGGCGTCGCAACTTGATTTGAATCATGACTCCGGCAGAGTTCTCTTTTGCATATCTGAAATCGAAATCTTTGCTGACTTTTGGGGGAGGTGACCTTTGAATAATGAGTGACTCTGAGGAGAATCTTTTTATCTAGATGGGATAATCGAGTCGTTTTCAAGATTAAAATTCAAAGGCAAAATGTTTATTTTGTTGGCGATTTTACAACCGAAAAGAGAGCAAACCTTTAATTTAAGTCAGAAAACTGCGTCATCGCCTAACTCATCGTAATTAATTCGTTAGACTATCGCCGACGACTAAAACGAAGAAAGAGAAGCGTGAAATACTTTGTATTTCCACAGGGGACATCTGCCCAAGTCAAGCTTCTGATTCCGAGCCCGATTTCTCGATCTCTCCCTGATTGATGACCCCAACACGCGACTTCTTTGTACCAATAAATTCCGAGCTAAATTCAGACAAAATTCCAGGCCTCAGAGATAAGGTCATCGAAGCAGACACCAACAGAATCCAAGTCCCAATCTGAACCAGAGACCGAAGTGTGGAAAAGAACGATCATCAATGGATGGCAATGGAGAGAGGCTCTTCCGGTTAGGCCTTTGGACATTTGACAGTTGCAGCCATAAATAAGCGTACAATAATTTTGTAGCCCTTTGTTTGAGTATAAACAAATTAGAAATCACACGGCCACGAAAAATTGACCACACTTGGCGTGTGTGCGAGCTGTGAGCTGTGTTTACTTAACCGCTGATAACAAAGTTGAAACAATAAACATTTTTCTCGCACAACAAAACACACAAATCCACTTAGCCACGCGCTCGGGAAGAAAGCCACCGATGGGAAGAAAGAGCGAGACCACCGCCACAAAAAGCCGAGAATGTCGAAAAGTTGAGAAGTCGAGAAGAATTCCACATGACCGAGTGGTGGTTGCGTTGGTGGTTCCACTGGCGTCATATAACCCATGCGAAACAGACGGCAATTTATTGATGAGTTTATTGCAACCACTTCGGATGGGGATCGAGATGGGATGGGGATGGGGAAGGGGATGGGGACACACGGCGGAGGAGCAACTGGGGGGGCAACTGCAGAATGATGGTCGATGATGTCTATGTCGTCGCATCGGCATCATCATCAGTTGATTCTTTGTATTATTTTTTGGTTTCTTCTGCTTTTCAATGGAGGGGGACACAATTTGTAAATTTCGTTTTATGACAACGCGCGCCACGTAAAATAAAACCATCTGCGGTGGCTTCGTGTGTCGCCACTGACAACCGAACCCTACACTGAGAGAAAAGCCTGTAGTCAAGGAATTCCAGTTTTAGCTGGTCCAGCTCGTTTTAAAGACTTCTTATCAGCCCGAAATAGTGACAATCCATTTATTATTGCTTTTTGCATATTTTAAACATTTTGAAGTGGCCAAGAATGATGTTGACTTCCACACGGTATACGTTTTAGGTTGACCTGTAAATTAAGCACTAAATTATTTAAGCTCAGAAGGCAAGCTAAAATACTTACCAAATTTCTGGCTCCGAATTTCTATTGGTTTTTATTCGGTTGGTTCTTCATAGTCTTCATAGCTGGCTCCAGGCATAGTAATATCTTCACAAGTGCAACGGCCATCCGTTTTTTGACTGCATAATCTATATGTATATGCAAGAGAAGGATACTTTGTCCAGAATGCCCATTAAAATGTATAGGACTATAGCCAATATCGACACTAATTTCATTTTATATAGATCTTTCAAGCTTGCTTCTTGATTCTTTCAGACACGAGTTGCCACTGATTCTGAACTTGGAAAGGGGGTTTTAAAAATGGGTCGCATATACGCCAACAGATAAGCTTCCACTAGACATGTGCGTGTTTTTTGGAAATATACAAAAATAAACGAACTTCACTGGTCCAACAAAATATGATACTTTTCGTTCCCCGTGAAATAATTATATTTATAGAATTAATCCCCCTAGTTTTCTCAGTGCAATCCCAATCCGAACCGAAGCCACGAGAAGATGGAAACAAAAATGCTAATTTCAAAAATTATGAGTTTCGTTCGCTTTTGGTCACACCTTAAAAATGTTAACTTGATTTCAGCCAAGTTGTGTTGTTGGCTTTCTGGGGGTTTTCGGATGATCTTGGCGTATACGGTAGGTCCAGCTCTAACTGTTATTTATCGTTAGACAAGACAAGCGGCAAGCTGCCGCTGTTTTTGAAACTGCTCAGCTCTTCGGAGAGCGAAACAACAATGCGGTATTTATAACGAATATTTATGGCAAGTCTAAGCTAATTTTTCTCGAAGACGAGGTTATAACAAAAGCTTAGAGTATTAATAAACACATGCGAATCCAAACAGAGGTAGTCAATGGTGCTGCCTTAGCCGTTAGGCTGACTTAAATATGATAAATCTTTATACTATAAAAGCAGTGTGCAATCTAATTCAATTTACAGGAACATAAATCAAAGTATTGCTTAGTATATAGAATATACTTTGTTTTTTGTTTTTTTTTCAAAAAATCACACCATATCAAAGACTGAATAGCTATAGAGATCACTCTATATATATCCCCATACAATCTCTACCCATCCACATCCAATCCTTCCCCGAATAGGCGGCGCTGAGCTGGTGAGTGAGTGTTAAAGGCAAATAACTTTTAGTGCAGTGCAAATGTTGTTCCCCTCGTTTTTCGTGGCTGTTTGGTCTTTTGCCGAAAATATGATTTAACTAAATTATTACCCGGAGCACACCTTAAAGTAATACAAAGGCACCAACCACCAACCACCAGCCAACAGCCAACAGCCACCAGCCACCACCGGCCGGCAACAACAATAAAGGAAACGCTTAATTCTGCATTGTCTTATTTATTTTAGCGAGAGGGGAGCTCGACTGAAAGCAAACTAAGCCGAACCGAACCTAACCGAAAGATGCACCTTCAGCCAGACCGAAACCAAAACCAAATCCGAAAACCGAAAACCAAACGGAAAGCAGGCTGAGATCGCGGGAGGAGGGAGTGGCCCCAGTGGAGCAGTCATCATCATAGTTTCGCTGGCTTTCTGGCTTTCAGCTCGTGGGTGGGTATCATACATTTGAGCAGAACGCCCCTCCATCTCCATCCAGCTCGCGAGAAAGAGATGGCCAGAGTCTGGGGCCGCTTGCTGGGTCCGTTTTTTCCACATTTTTTTAGTTTCATTTTTTTTTTAGTGAAGCAGGCAAAACGCATCACCATCACAATGTGCCATCAATAAGTGGTAACAGCGTGTGTTGTGGCTACATACCTCGTCCTCGAAAGTTGGAGAGGGTATATGGCTCTGGCACTATGAGAGTTAATGATGAAACATTTTCGGGTTATTCAATAGAGTGTAAAGAGCAGGCCAGTCAAAACTTTCATGAACAATCCTAAGACCTTAAATAGCTGATAATATGATTCTAAGAAGGCTTTTAATTTCTAAAGAATTATTATACATGATAACCTTTATTAGGCATACTGACTGAGCTGGCCAAAGAGCACTCCATTTCAAGGGGTATTCCCGGACTTCATCACCCTTCAGCCATTCCTAGTCCTACAGCTGTTGTTGTTAGTGGTGGCGCGTACCCAGTACCCAGATCTCTGTTCATTCGTGAGCGGAACGTCCATCAATGTGGCAATACTCCGACTGTGGCTGTTGCTGTTGCTGTTGCCATTGCGACTCCGACGACGATCATAACTTGAAGTTCAATCGCAATGCCGCGGGCCATTTGCCCAGCCTTAGTGCCAAAGCCAAAGCCCAAAAGCAGAAGAAGTCGCAGCTGAAACTCAAGTTGAGCCGCAGTTGAGGCCAAAAGCTGAAAATCTGGGGAAGATGAGGCCACGAGGTACGAGAATCAATCGCCCACGTTTATGAATTGCTGCGGCGCCGAAAAAGAGGGGCCAGCCAGGGGTTAAAAGGGTGGGGGCGGGGTTCCGCAACGGGCCAAACCACCGGCAACGTGCAACATTTTAGCTGTCCACTGGGCCACAAGCCCTGTGCTTTCCTGGTTGTTTTTCTGTGTGCCTTGCAACCACAAAACGTCGCCACTTGCGCCTCATAAAATCGACAAAAAATAAGCACAAAAACTGAAAACCGAAAAGAAAGAAGGAATGGAGCCAGGAAAATAAGGGCTAGGCACACGCGCCATCCAAGACTTTTCCCTTTGCGGTCCGTGCACTGAAGGAAAATAGTCTACAAATGGAAAAAAATGCTCTCTGATTATGATCTTACCTCAAGATTCAGTCTCGTTTAAGTTCAAAGTTTAATTTCGAAACAGGAACTTTCATATTACAACTCACAAAAGAATCATAAGAATCATTTTAAAGATTTTCTCCCAGTGTTGATCTTTTTTCTTTTCTTCTTTTTCGGGTGGAGGAGCAGACTGCACCTCGTGCACCATGGGGTTAACGTTAACCCAAAGCCACAGCCACAGCCCAAGCCCAGCGCCACCTACGCTCGATGATGCTCCATGGATCCCAGCCATCGGAGATCGGGATCCCGAGTGGTGCATGCGACAAATATTTCAACACACAGTCCCGCCGCTCCGCTCGCTATTCTAATAGACCGATTTGTCAGGGATCAGATTACATGCCTGCTGACGCCCACATCCGGTGAAGGTTGGAGATATCTTGGCCAGAAAGCTCAAAGCCAAAGCCAAAGTGTTGAATGAATGTTAGAGCCGAGACTGTGAATGAACATATTTCACTAGCTCACGCGGCGGGGGAGTTGAAACGCCACAGAAAAATGGTTGGGAAAATTTCATTATAAAATGCTCTAGGCCTTAGAACTTGAATATGGTGGGAAAGATGGGATGCGAGAGGGGGTTTTACAATAGTTGTTATCCTGGTAAGTATATATAATAATGTACAACAATCTGAATAGTAAAGAAGTTCTAACGAATCTTTGTTTTCTTTATAAGAAATAGATTATGATTTCCTTCATCCTTTTAGTTTTGGTTTATGATCATCTTACAGATGCAGCTGCTCTTTCTGAATATGTTTATAATTATTTTTTACTTAAGTTGAATTGCAAATAAAATGTTTAGCTTACTTTCAGAGGAATCCTTAATCCTTTTTACCAACCAAAAGTCCATCTTCATGATCGCAGCCCATTAAGAGGGTCCCATCCCAGAGCATCCCCTCTTTCAGGCTACCACTTGGCTGCCTCCCTTGGCGCATTGTTTATGGTTAATCTTTATCAATTTAAAGAAATATCTTTGTTTCGACATTTGCACATAAACAGCGTAAAAAAGTTTTTGAACAAAGCCCGCAGATCGGCGATCCGCTGCCCAATCCAATTCCAATCCGAGTCCAGGCGATTCGCCAGGGTCCAATGTCAGTGGCGTCTCCAACGGAAGCAAAACCGCAGGGGGTGGGCGTGGTGGCGGCATCGTCTGCCCGTCGGCCCGTCGTCCCGTCTTCTCCCCCGGGACAGAGACACCTTGGCCAATGTCTACAGACATACGAGTATTCTCTCTGGCTGGCATCCCAGGAGAACCGAGCTGACAACAAGAAGCACCAAAAAGCACAATTTTAATGAGAATATATTTTGTGAAGTGGTCAAATGACAGCGGGCTCAACATTGTTCTGCCGGCGGAGGGAAGAAATAATATTCCGTGAATTATGAAATGTAGGAGGTGGATCCTTAACGAAGCACCCCGAAGAAAATGTCGTTCACACAGCGTGAAATGTTTCTGAAAATGCCATCACCGAGGCCCCAAACTCCCCCCCGCTGTTGGCCGATGACTACTACCAGCCAACTACTACTGTGGCTACCCGCAAAATGGGAATATATTTTGGTGGATCGGAGGATAGGGGAATCGGGCAGGCGGAGTCCCCAAAAAGCCATCCCAATCCGCATAACAGTCGACCATTTATATGGTCATCAATAAAAATAAATCAAAGCGCATTTTTAGAAACCTTTCAAAAATAAAATGAAAGAGGAGTTAGTTGAGTTGAAGACAAAGCTTTCGCTTGCCGACTTCTCTACTACTCTACTCTATGAGTGTTTTCTTTGATAAATATCTACTGAACATGCTGACATTACTAAAAGACTCAGAGTTAAGAATACTGTAAGGATTTCATCCTAATTAGTTATCATTTTACAGCTAATATACCCCTTGATAGTGCACTAAAAACCATAGTAAGGTCACAAAATTCGGTTTCTGACCAAAGCTTAAGGCCAAGAAGTTCGAGGCTATATCTGGAAGACGTGTCTGCATATCCAGATATGGAAATTAACAAGAGATGCCAAGCCTCCTCAGTCACACTTGGCTTGAGAGCTGATTCTGAAGGCTTGTTATTGCGAATCCTTGGCGCGATTGCAAAAACAAACATTCATTCACATATGCCGAACATCGCTACCGGATTATATGAGGAATATAATGCCAACTGTGACGGCTGTCCCTGGTACTGGCACTTTTTTGGCCTTTTTGAGATCTGAGGATCAGCTGAGGATCACCACTTGGCACTCTTGGGGCGTCTTGTTAACATATCAACATCATGTCGCACTCTCGTTTGTTCAGCTTCCCCAGTCCTCGCTCATTTCACCCCCTGTCTGTCTATAGGTACAACCCTCCTCTCCCTCTCCTCCTCTCCACCCATCTTCCCATCACTTTGCCTTTTTACGATTATTATTGTTTTTACCGCTGCGGCGGGATTCACACGAAGGCGCCTGTTCAGTTTTTTTTTCTTTTTTTTTGGTTTTCATTTTTGGTGCTGCCTTTTCGAGCGCCTCCTTTTATTTATTTCGCTTATGGCTTTGCAGCTAATTGGGAATTATTTTTATGCATGAATTGTGTGAAGAAATTGGTAATCATTTG